TGCGGCGACTGGTGTTCGCCGTACAAATCCGGTATCAGTAATTGAAATGTAAAACAGCTTTTCTTTTATCTATTCATAGAAGCTGTTTCAACCAAGATTTATTTAAAACTCCAGTAAAAACTTATGCTAACTAAATCTTCGATTTGCTTCTCATGATCATTTTCACACAATTCAAGGAGGGACGCTGCACTGACCATTTGCCGCGTCAAAGAACTTTTTCGCTTTAAAATGAGACACACCTGCCGTTTAAGACTGAAATTGTCCAGTTTTACATATTATTTACTTTACGGCAATTAATGGCATCTTGCTGCATCATGCAAGAGAAAGGCCGGTCTCGACCGATTTCGGAATTTAGATATTCGCAAGAGCCTTAGTGCACGAAAGCTGGTTCTCCAGATTTATAATTCGGCTCCAATGGTTTAGGCATGATTCGGGAATGTTTACAGAATGGACAGCCGGGCAGCTGCTATTTGCTTAACCAACGAGCCGAAATCCCGGGCACGACCGAAGAAAACCTGAAACAAGTGTCTAGAAGGATTCTGCTGCAGAATTTGTTTTTTTCCGCTGAAGTTCAAACGCTTGCGCAGGACCAGGAACGTTGGAGAAGCTGTTTGACAAGTTTGCCTCTAGACCCGAAAGAATAAGAAATGGAAACTGACTGATTTTGTCAGAATTTCCTGATGTTCGGCTGAAAGCACTGTCCTCACCTTTTCGTAATGAACTTAAGAAATACAGGCGAATCTTACAATATGTGCCTTGAACACCATTCGTCTGCCAGTCAGATGTATCTTTCCTCTTTTCAGATACAGCATTGTAGAAAAGCGGAGTTATGACGTAGCTACTACCGTACATGATACGTGGAATACGCATTGGTCGCATAGATGCTTCAAATGTTCAGTTGTTTTAGGAGGGAATAACTGAGGATGTGATTCGCATTTTTCTAGGTCCGCCACGTGACTGCAGCGGAGACATATACTATGAACATCCTGATGAAAAGCTAACTTGCAACCCAGATTTGCGGCGAAACAACTGTCCGGTAAATTGCCGGTGCACGTACGGTCATAGGTGCTGCTGTGAAAGAAGAGGTACAGCTATCATCCACTTTATACTTATATCGTCCAATCTGCCACTTCTTCGTCAGAAAACGTACCGGGAGATGTGTTCGAAAAATGCGATGAAGATGATGTATGTTACGACAAATTCTCGTCATGCAAATTTGGATTCTGTCAGTGCGACTCGGGCTACATATTCAATGGCAGCAAGTGCTTCCCACGTAAGAATACTTTATAAAATGAAGTACATCCTGTTTTAAAGTTATGAATGTAATGTTTGTTCTTTAGGGCAGCTTTTGCCTGATTCGTCGTTCACGATGGTATAAAGTGTTCATGATTGAGTTTTATAAATATTAGTCGTTTACAACTTTAGATACAAGTTACTAGTGAGATGGAGAATCAAACAAGCATAGAGTTCCATACTAATATTTTCCGGATTCAGGATGAGCATAGAATTCAGAAGAACATTTTCAAAGTTACTAGTGCCTCCATATATCAATAAAGTTTGCCATGGTTGAATTTATTGGTTCACCAAAGGTTCCTAACGTTTCTACTCTCGTCTTGCAGTAGAATCGAGGGCATAGATCTGCAGGAACCCAATATTTTTACTCTGAACAGGCTGCATCGAAGGAATCTGGAGGTAGGTTCAGCGTAGTGGTTTGGACCCAAATTTGAATCGCTACATCAATGGATTATTTGCCTTATCTCCTAGTTTGTCTCCTGGTTTATTCCACTATATGCTCAATGAATAGTTC